GCCGACCCTGCGCCCCAATGCACACCTCACACCCGCGCCTATACGGTACATGGTCGTTAAGTTCGTGCTGAGCCTGGGCTTGGGCCTCCGTCATCTTAGCCAACAAAACCTTACGCTCCGCAATCTCACGCAGTTTCACATGCTCTCTCCAGTCTAACCACTGAGACCTCACTAAACGGGTGAATGCCGCGGGCCACCCAAGTCCCAATGAGCTCTGACCCAAACCGTCTACAGGATACACCTCACCATGATCCTTTCTAAACCCACAAACCCTCCTTCCTTGAAGAGCCTCAAACAAAAACCAAGATGTCGTCACCACTTCCGCCGGCTGAACCTCCCGCGATCCGAACCACCCATGGTCAAAACTGGCAACTTGCAGCCCATACACCTCAATCCAGGCCCGAAGATCCACCGAACCCTCCCTGGAACCAAAACCCTTTCTAGGTAGCTCCCAGAGAAAGAAAATTGATGGCAAAGGCTCAGTGTCCTCTGGCAAGCTACTGGGCTCCTTCTGTCGAAGTCTCTCCGCAGCTTTAGCTAGAGCCCACTCGACTAACTCCTTTGGATCACTTATACCCTCTAGTACAATCTCCTCAGTGCAACCACCGAAGGAAACCTCGGCTTTAGTCGATTGGGCATCGCTTACCGCTTGCGTGACAGCCACTAGGAGAATCATCCGCATTCGAACCACCGCTAGCGGTCCATATTCCCCTTCATCATCATCACCTAACTCGGGCTCGCCTACGAAACCCCCAATCACACCCGACAGGGACCACCTTAACAAATGCCCAAAAACCACGCTACTTCCCAGACCCTTCTCGGAATAGGAAACCTTTAAGACTCGCCCGGAACCCTTCCAACCCCCAAGTCCCGGAGAGAAACCTACTAGCACCGAGCCCCGGCTTCCACGGTCCAAAGAGCGTCTCATTCGCCTATTCCAAGGAAACCCGCTCCACTCAAGAACCTCCTCCGAAGCTGACGGGACACAAACCTTCGGCAAGACCGACTCTGGAACCCCAGGAAACACGCTCCTCAAGAAGTCAGCTTGAACCTGCTCGCTCAAACAGCCTCCAATAGACTGTCGAACTTGCTCCCGCAACCATTGCCGAATGGACTTCGCCGGAACCAACTCTGTCGGTTGTAGCAGCTCAAGCTTCCGCAAACCCTTTCTCTCACCAATTCTAGCCTCATACCTAGCTAGCAGATCTAGCCCAACATTCCTAGGGATCAAAGGACAACCCTTAACCACTTGCACCGGCAAGCTTCCCTCCTTGGGGTGTTTGATTCGGCATCCCTTCTTCCTCCAGGAAATATTGAACCCTAATTCCACAAGGTAATTCGCAGGCAAGATGACCTGGCATTGGCCAGCATGTAAAAGGGTACCATAGTCATTGACCCTCAACTCCGTTCCTCCACTTGCTAGGTCGACCTTGATGACCCTTCCGCCCCTTAGCTCATCCTCCGATGCCGGTCTCAAGGCATTAGTCGCACCACTGTCGACCAAGCAGAAAGAGGGGTCGGAGGCACTAACCAACGCACTACGAAGCCAGGTGAGATCACACTCCGGGTCATCTATGTTCAGTGCCTTAATCGAAACCCCCTTAAGCAGCTTTGCTGCCTCTGCAAGCAGCGCCTCCTGAGTAACGGAAGTTCCCGACGCATTAGAAGACCCGGCTGACCCTATCGGCGTTTCCCCTCTCGTTCCCGCTTCTTCGGTCACCCCCTTTGCCTGGGCAGCCGCCTTAGCCTTAGGCTTCCCTTTAGGACTACCCTTCCCTGCCGGAGAGGCTGCCTTAGGGGAACCATCCGAGCCCCCATCGGACTGCACTACTCTATGCTCTGCAGGAACAAGAGGGCATTCCGGGCGAAAGTGTCCTGCCTGACCGCAAGCAAGGCACCGGTTTTCCTTTCGAGCCTTGCTCCTATCGTGCTTAAACATGCACGCGTCACCGAACCTACACCCAGAAGCATCCGTAAACTTATGACACAATGGAGCCCCAGTATCACTAGCCTTACCCTTGCCCTTCCCCTTGGGTTCACTACTTGACGCTGCTGCTACCGTCGCCGATGCTGGAGCCGTTGCTCCTCCGGTCGGGGGACTTGGCACCGGAGGGGCCTTACTACTAGGGGGATCCCTGGCAGCCTGTAGCGCCGCGGCCTTTGCGCGCTTGTCCGCTTGGGTCTCAACACCCAAAGATGCCGCTTCACATTCCGCCTGTATTAATCGCACTAGTTGCATCACACCCAAGACAGTAGGGTTATAATCCAACCCCGAATTATGGCGAAACGCGCTCACCCTGAATGCCACCATAGGACTAAGCGCCAATACCGCTGAAGTGGACTGGTCTATCCCTTTTACCAACAGGGAGGGATCTGGGATTGTGGCTTTAATCTCACGGGCTCGGTGCAAGTTCTGAGTCCATTTTCTGAGGGCGACGAGTGCTTCCTTAAAGCTCCTACAGACCTCAGGCTGAACCAATTGCGACAACAAGTGAGCTCGTTCATTACTACCTCCGGGTTGCCAAAGGCACAAAATACGAAACAAGATCGAGGCAGAACTCATCCACCTATTAACAATAAGGTCTTCCTTAACCGAAACTGGAACCGCCGCTAACAACAAAGTTACAGCCCTCGACTCCACTCTCTGATAGCGATGAACGTCGTAGCTAGCCACCACCATACTGGGGTCGATACCCAACCTTCCTAGGGGATCTGCTACTAGCCACTTATAGTATCCCTGGTTCGCAGCTGTCTCCACAGAGGAGAACCACACGTCTGCCGTCGGCGATAGGCCCTGAAATATCTGTCTCACTTGGGCTAGCCAGTTACCACAGACTACCGCCGAACTAGCCAAGTCTGCTTGCACAAGCTTCGGCAGATCAGTAATATACTTAGCCGGTTCCTCCGGACGTGTGGACTCACTCCCAACCGGAAACACTCCATCAGCCTGTACAGTTGGGCCAACTGACGACCCCGCTGGAAAATTCAAGCTTCGAGCAGGCGGACTTGGAAGGACCCCTTGAGCGCCAGGAGCCCCGCACGGAATCCCTAAGTGTCTTACTCCTTGAGCGTCCACAAACTCCCTTAATACCCCAAAGTCCGTCAGCAGTCCAGTCTGGCCTGCGACGATCCCAGGAGGCCCACGCGGAGACGCCGGAGGCGGGCCCGGCGGGGGCCGAATTACAGTCCCACCAGGAGACACAGGATACCCCTGAACATCAAACCCCGGGACCCCTGTTCCCGTGGAGCGAGGAGTACAGAAACCCAAATTAGGCTCAACCCCCGAACTTAGAACCTCACTTGTGAACTGACGCATGGTTTGAGTTCGGCTAGCTTCGTTCTCATGAGAGCCTGAGGGACCCACGCTGACCCGAGTCTGCTGGCCCAAGAACGGGACCATAGCCGTCCCTTCAACTGGATCCATTACGCCTTGACCTGAAGGTAACACCCCCTGATGCAACCCCAAAGCCCTACTCGGGTCTAGGAATGCACTGACTGGGGCCTCCTGTCGGGTTTGCTGAGGGCCCCCTTGTTGACTGCTTACCGGTACCCTACCCGGACCTTCAACAGTCACCGCTGGGCAATCATCAAACCAAGCAGCTACCGGCGCAACAGACTGTACAGCTACGCCTAATCCCAAATCACTCCTGACATTTCCACCCGGCATCATCCTTTGTCCACCGGCCAAAGAGAATGACACCGGCGATCCAGCAGCATGTACATCCCCTGGGGTTCCGCCGCTATGCCAGGACGAATGCGAGCGCAGCTCAGCTTGTTCCAGTCGCCTCTTCAAGTTTCTATTCTCCTCCATCATTTGCACCAAAATGGTTTCCATATTAAGTGCTGGCTTACGGTCCGGTAGAAGCTCATCGTCATGCTCGGGGCCTGCTTGATTCAAGGCCTGTTCACCAGGGCCCTCCAGATTCCCAGTGACCAAAGTGTGATCCACTGCCGCCCCCTTGGACAAATCCACCGGATTCGTTCTCGCCAGCCCAGATCCCGGCGACACCTCGCCTGATCCAGCAGAAGTTTCCACTCTCGCGACCCGTGGTCCTTGACTTCCTTCACCGGTTCCAAGACTCTCGGGAGCCCCAAAGGCCTCTGCATAGTTTGGTTCAGAACCATCGGCCCCTCCAAACCAATCTGCCCCAGACACCCTATCCTGAGCCAGCCTGGCCTGATCCTCGTCAAGCGTAGAAGGTCGCTGCTGCAGAAGGGCAATCTCGCTTTTCACCCTCTCACTGTGGAACGGACTGGCCATCATTCCCATTCCCTGGGAAGGTCCATGGCCTTCTCCTTGCTCGAGAGTTCCAGGAGAGGCTTCTCCCGGAAAACCACCCATAGGCCCTTCACCTGGCCCAGATGGCCTATCTCCTTGACTCAAGACCGTTCTAAATTCGTCCTCAAGACGATTTGCCGTAGCCTCCTGATCTGCTGACACTGCAGGGTTCCGTCTGTTCCGCACCATGGGATTCATCAGAAGGAAAAACTACTCCTAGCCCAAAGTTAAGCTTACCGCACTAGCAACCTTAACTAGAGCCTACGGCTGATAACCTACGTGAAATAAGCTGAAGAAATGTGACTCCGATAGACACCACTGGCCTACCGGATTCTGGAAAGCGCACTATTTTTCGAGACAAAAACGGCCTTGGTACATCCGCACGCCTGCTATGCAACAGAGGTTTCTCATCACGCACTTAGGGCTTAGGGGTTTAGGGCTTAGGGGTTTAGGGGTTTAGGGTAATGGAGTGAGTGCGTTGCATGCAGTCCTTGGAGGGGTCGACACTCACAACCTAAGCACCTGAACCCAACATCACCCGAAGAGCCCTGGTAAAATCTCAGATGCCCGACAGTTTAGCCACGACACATTGAAGTTTAGGGTGTTTTTTTGTGGTTTAGGGTCTTGGGTTTAGTCATGCAGTTTAGCCACGACAAATTAAGGTTTAGGGTGTTTTATTGTGTGGTTTAGGGTCTTGGGTTTAGTAATGCAGCCAGGTCACAAGAAGATCCAAGAAGGGCGTGTCATCTTTGTCTTCTGCATGAGGACTCAGCGGCACCGTCAAGTTGCCGCTATAAACCTTGTTCTTCGGGGCTTTAGGGTTTAGGGTTTAGGGCTTGGGACCCGGGATATACAGGGTTAATGAGGTTGGCCGTACGACAACACAAAAACGGACATGAAACACATATGGGAGTTTCCGAAAAGAGGGGTACCTGATTTTGGAATCCTTATAATAAGGATCCTACTATATCTACTATTTGGGATACTAAATTAGGGTCCCCTATATTCGGAAACTCCCGTATGCCCTAAACCCCAAATCTTCCACCCTACCCCCAAAGAATAGCCGAGAAACAGTGTTGTTCCCCATCTTCTTGGAATGTGTCCATTTCAGGCCTGGCAAGTTCAGACAACTGAAGCCTGGGAGGTTCAGAAATCAGGGGCAGGTTGTTTGAGGACTGACAGGCTTTCATGAGGGTCGCGTCGGATCCGCAAATGAAGAATAAGCCTCATACCATTTCAACTGTTAGGGGATTATATTGAATTTTCAGATGATACACAGCATCCTTATGTAAAATGTCCAAAGACGAAGCACGGCAATTCAAAGCAACCCTGTGCCCTAGACCCTAAGCCCTTTGTCCCACACCCTACTCGGAGGTTCATGGGTAGTTATAAGTTATAAGTGGACTTATAAGTAGGGTAACTATATACTTATAACTCATACTAGGGGACGACTTATAGCCCCACTTATAATTATCCATGAACCTCCAAGTACTCCGTAAAGTCTGTGTAAGCCCTACGTATTTCCGCAACCCCTTATCCGACACCCTAAACCCGAAACTCCAAACCCTGCGTGGTTGCCAAACCCTGAATCCTACACCCCAAATGCATAACCCCTAAACCCTAAACTCTAAACCCGAAACCCTAGATTAGATCTTACACCCTAAACTTCTCCAAACATCCCTAAATTTCTAAATCCCTAAACCTAAGCCCCTCCTCCGAACCTTCCAGAGGATGAAGAAGGTCACACGCTTCGGCTTTGACCATCTTCTCCTGTGGAAAGATCGGTGGACTTCGTAAGTAGGTAGTAAGTAGACTTATAAGTACCCTAAAAGGGACCCTAATCGGGGTTATGGTACTTATAAGTCCTTAAAATAATCAGTTACTAAGGCCCCCGACCCTCCTGAAGTGGAGGGTTAGTGGACTTAGCGTACAAATAGTAAGGGTTGTCCGGTTTAGTGTTTATAGGTTTAGGGTTTAGGGTAATAGGGGGTTTAGGGTTTAGGTTTGGTTTTTAAGCGCCCCTTTTTGGACCAGCAGATCCGTTTGCTCATCGGAAATCCCCCTGGGAGGGCAGAGGTTTAGGGTTTTGGGTAATAGGGGGTTTAGGGTTTACATACAAAGGGTGCCTTGAGGGGTCCGCTGAGGGATCTATAAGGGTACTACGTAGGGTTGGGGAGGATTTGCGGGTTATAGATATAGGTTATATAGTATAGGTTAGGATAACCCCAATTGGGGTCCGTCGGGGGGCTGCTTGCAACTCTACCAATACCTGATCGAAGGGTGTTAATAAGTAGAATAGGGTCACCGAAACCTGTGGTGACGGAATCAAGAATTTGCGAGGATTTACTGAACTTTCGTGAGAACGACCTCATACTCACGGCTTTAAGAAGGGAAGGTGTTGTGTTTTGTAGTTTGTAGTACCGAGTCCAATCATTCACAGGCAAATTTCTGCCATAGCATTAACACATAGCTTGGTGCAAAATCTCGCAGATGAGCTGAGCCAAGAGGAAGAAAACTCCCTGTGCTAAGGCACCAAAATTCCGCAGCCAGCGACATGTACAAACCGAACAGTATCCGAGGAAACAGTACAGGGATAAATGCATACTGGCACAACTACAGGTTAGGGTTGAGGGTTTAGGGCAAAGTTTAGGGTTTAGGGCTTACTATGGGCTTAAGAAGGATTCGGGTTGGGACTACCGAGCATCAGTGTTCCTGAGGGTGCCCTGTTCTTTGCTCTAACTATGGTAAAACCCTGAATCCTAAATCCCTAAACCCAAGACCCGAAATTGAAATCTCTAAGCCCTTATCCCCAGATCCCTAAACCCTAATAGGGGTGAAAGTGTCAGACCCTAAACCCGTAAATCCCTAAACCCCAACCCCTAAACGCTATAAACCCCATAAACCCCTAACCCCCCTAAAGGAATCCCTAAACCCTATAGACGCCTTAAGAGCCCTTGAAGGAGCCCCTAAAGCTCCAAACCCCTCAACCCTAAACCCTCAACCCCTCAACCCTGAACCCTAAACCCCTAAACCCCAAAACTCCTAACCCCTGAACCCCTTAACCATGTAAACCCCTAAACCCCTAAACCCTAAACCCTAAATCCCCAAATCCCCAAACCCTAAACCCCTACATCCCTAATCCCTAAACCCCTAAACCCCTAAAACCCTACATCCCTCAATCCCTAACCCTAAATCCCTAAGACCCTACATCCCTAAATCCCTCGGTCCTGCAGAAGGCTCGAGGCATCCTCCAGTCGTCGCTGCTGGGTCGCAAGGATCCTTTTGAGATCTCTTGGGGGATCTCCTTCTGGGGCCTTGGGGGTTTCGGTGGCTCCTTTAAGGGTTTAGGGTTTAGGGTTTAGGGTTTAGGGTTTAGGGGTTTAGGGTTTAGGGTTTAGGGTTTAGGGTTCTCTTAAGGGATCTATAGAGTTTAGGGCCTCCTTTAAGATCTCTGAAGGGATCTATAGGGCTTAGGGGTTCTATTGAGGGCTCTTAAGGGCTTAGGGGTATTACTATAAGGGTACCTTTAAAGGGATCCTCTAAGGGTTCCTACAAGGGTTCTATAAAGGTTTAGGGTTCAGGATCTGTGGGGCTTAGGTTAAGGGCTCTTAAGGGGCCTACAGGTTTTCGGTGGATCCTTTAAGGGGCTCTTAAGGGATCTATGAAACTTAGGAGTTCCTTTCAGGGCTCTTAAAGGATCCATAGGGTTTAAGGATTCCTTTAATTTAAGGAGGTCGAAGGGCTGCTGAGGCAGCCAACGAAAACTTCCACAATACAGTTTCCTCCGAGTGTGAAGCCCCCCAAAATCCACACATGGACCCGCAATAAACACAGCCGGAAACCAAGCCCATCACCCCCCCCCCCATAAAGTAACGTAGCTTAAAGATACCAAGGTAAGCCTAAACCCCGTAGCTTAACCTAAACGTACCAAGGTGCTGGAGGGAGAGCTAAATGACCTTAAACCCTCAACCTAAAGATACCAAGGTGCTGGGAGAGCAGCGATACTAATCTCCAAAACCTAAACCCTCAACCTAAAGATACCAAGGTGCCGGGGGAAGAGCAGGAAAGCTAATCCCTAAAACCTTAAACCCTCAACCTAAAGATACCAAGGTGCTGGGGAAAGAGCAGGAAAGCCAATCCCTAAAACTTTAAACCCTAAACCTAAGGATACCAAGGTGCTGGGGGAAGAGCAGGAAAGCTAATCCCTAAAACTTTAAACCCTCAACCTAAAGATACCAAGGTGCTGGAAGGAGAGCAGCAATGCTAATCTCCAAAACCTAAGCCCTCAACCAAAAGATACCAAGGTGCCGGGGGAAGAGCAGGAAAGCTAATCCCTAAAACCTAAACCCTCAACCCAAAGATACCAAGGTGCTGGAAGGACCAGAGCAGCAGAGCTAATCCTTAAAGCCTAGACCCTAAAGATACCGAGGTGCTGGAGGGACCAGAGCAGCAGAGCTAATCCCTAAACCCTAATTAAACCCAAAAGATACCGAGGTGCTGGAGGGACCAGAGCAGCAGAGCTTATCCCTAAACCCTAATCAAACCCAAAAGATACCGAGGTGCTGGAGGAAGAGCAGCAGAGCTAATCCCTAAACCCTAATTAAACCCAAAAGATACCGAGGTGCTGGAGGGAGAGCAGCAGAGCTAATCCCTAAACCCTAATTAAACCCAAAAGATACCGAGGTGCTGGAGGGACAGCAGCAGAGCTAATCTGCATTTCCCAGGCAGAGCCATGGGTCGACCAAACGCCCACGGGGGGGCTCGGACCTCTCCCCAGCCTCTGGAGCAGCTCGAGCTGAAAACAGCTGCGTCACTTCGCTAAGTTCATACGGGTGGTGATATAAATCCTGAGGTTCCTTTAAAGTAATCTATGAAGGTACCGTTAAGGGGCTCCTTTAAGGGATCTATAGGGGGTTTAGGATTAGGGGTATAAATCCTGCATTACCCATAATCAGGAATATACCACAATTCCCATAGTTTAGGGTCCTGAAAACTATTGCAGGATTTATATCAACAACAGTAAGACTCCTGAGAAGGGTTCGGGGTTTAGGGTAGGGTGTGGGGTTTCTCTTTGAAGGCTCCTTTTTGGGTCCGCACGAAATGTTTAGGGTTTAGGGCTTAGGCGATAGAGAGTCATACTATCCCCAAAAAAGTGTCAAGTGCACCCACTCAGCTTCTAAGGTCACCAGCCCCGTGAGCCCTTTGAAGCTTTCCTCTTGGTTTAGTATAGGCCTTCATGATTTGAGTAGGCGTTGGAGGCATAGTGTTTGGTTTATGTATTATTTTGGGACCATACCGGAGTAGCGCGACTAGGTATTCCTAAACCCTTATCCAGTCAGACAGACCCTTGACAACCCCTGCAAAGCCGCGAACTCTAAACTCTAAACCCTCTCAAATCGTAGTGCTCTGTATGCAAGCCTCTGAACTCTATGCTCGAAACCCTACTTAACCCCTAAGAAACCTTGGGCCTTGATTAGGGCTCCTGAAATGGATCCTACTATTTTGGGGGTTAAGGGCCAGGGTTTCTTAATCAGGTTCCTACATTAAAAAAAAGAAAAGCACCCTAAGCCCTCAAAGAAAGTACCCTTCTAGTAACCCTTATAGGACCCCTCTAAAGGACCCCTTAAAGGACCCTATTCTAATAGACTCTGTCCCGACATTCTTCCCTAAACCCCCTAAACCCTAAACCCCTAAACCCTAAACCCCCAAACCCTCAACCTCTAAGCCCTAAACCCCTAAACTACTTCTTCAGACCGACGAAAGCCCAATAAGCTCCTCCTCTTGCAGGTTTACTTGGAGGGGCAGGGGACTTAGTAAGGGCTCTAAAAGGGCTCCTGAAAGGGATCTATAGGGTTCCTTAAAGGGATCTATGGGGTTGAGGGTTTAGGATCTACTTGGAGGGGCAGGGGACTTAGTAAGTAGGTTATAAGAAGAGTTGTAATTGGGGTAACTCCAATTAGGGTACATATAACTCTACTTATAACCTACTGACCAAGTCCCCTGCCCCTCCAAGTAGGGCTTACGGCATAGGGTTTGGGTTTAGGGCTTTCGGGGTTTAGGGTTTGGGTGGTTTAGGGTTTAGGGGTTTAGGGGTTTAGGGGTTTAGGGGTTTAGGGGTTTAGGGGTTTAGGGTTTGGGTGGTTTAGGGTTTAGGGGTTTCGGGGTTTAGGGGTTTTGGGGTTAGGGGGTTTTGGGCTTAGGGGTTTAGGGGTTTAGGATCTAGTCGGGGTTTTTAGGGTATTAGAGGGTGTAGGCACGGGGTTTGCGGTTCAGGGATCGCCTCTTCTTGCACACGCGTGAGACCGTGTCTGTGAGTCAGCGAACTTGACCCTTCGGGTGAAGTCGAGCCGAGCATCTGCTGGGGCAGAAGATGCGTTTAGGGTTTAGGGTTTCTACCATCTCCCCTATAGAACGATAGCACGCTAGTAGAAACTAGTAATCGTGCCCCTTTAGAATCCCCATATTGTGCTATTCTAGTAGTCCCTCAACCCCATTCTAGCTCAGACTTGTCCGTTATCATAGGCACATAAAGGTTAGGCTTTGGGATTATATCAGCATGAGAATAAAAGGTTAAAGGTTACCTGTGCGACTATTGAGCACTGTTAAGGCCAATCTCAAGACAACCTCTGACGCTTGGCTTAGAGAGAGAGAGAGAGAGAGAGAGAGAGAGAGAGAGAGAGAGAGAGAGAGAGAGAGAGAGAGAGAGAGAGAGAGAGAGAGAGAGAGAGAGAGAGAGAGAGAGAGAGAACATACCACTCGGCTTAGGGCAAGTTGAACCTTTAACCTGCTTCTTGTAACTAAGAGGCCCAGAAAGTGAAGTCCTCAACCCTAAAACCCTTGGGTTTAGGGTTCAGGGTTTAGGAAACCTGAACAGCTAACCAGAACAGAGCCAACTTACTGTAGCCCTAAACTGCAGAGCCTGCTCCCTTGGGGTTTGGGGTTTGGGGTATCAGCCTTTCGCTGAGCTGGCTGCAGGCTTCCTAAAGCGAACGTACAGACTGCTCTGATAAAACCCCAAACAAACAACACGTGTTAATACGAGGAGGTATGATAATCATGCCAGTGCTGCCCATTGGGCACCAGAACTCAGAAAAGGATTGGTCCTTACGATTCAAGCGTATTCGCATAGGGCTTTACAAGGCCATTCCGGCTATTAGCTCCTGCTTGTGAGTTTGCTGCATTATCCGGCCTGTACAGTGCCGCATTAGCTGTTCTCAGCTGCATCCTCTTGTAGCTAGGATACCCAGTAACCTAAGAATAAAAAGGCCTCTCTTTTTGGTATTGGGTAACTTTATAAGGAACCTAGGACTACGAAAAGGGAATAAGGGTACTACTGGAGATCCTAGTCTTGTAGCATCTTGAGCCCCAAAGCTATGTCCGGAACCATGCACGCGATCCCAGGAGTGTCGAGCTAGGAAAGGGGCTGAAGATTTACGGTTCAAGGCGTAAGATTTACAGTTTGGGGTTTAGGGCTTTAGGGCTTTTCGGGTTTAGGGCTCAGGGCTTTAGGGTTAGAGTTAAAGGCCCAGGGTTTAAACCCGAACGTCCCAGGAATCGCGATGTAGGGAATGCCGCACCATCCGTCGTACATCGTCTTTAGAGCTCTTATCGGCTCTCAAGCTACGGTTTAGGGTTTAGGGCCTAAGTTTAGGGTGTAGGGTTTAGGAGTCCTACTACAAGGGATCCATAAGGGTTGCTCTAAGGGATCCAGAAGGGTTACTTTAAGGGATGCATAAGGGTTGCTTTAAGGGATCCATAAGGGTTGCTTTAAGGGATCTACATGGGTTTGGGGTGTAGGATTTGGGTAGTTCTCTAAATTCTAAGGCCGCGGGGCTTCATAGGTTTCGTAAAGGCTTTCGCAGGGCTCGCAAGGAGTTTCTCTAGACGAAAAGGCGAGAGGCAGTGAGGCACAGGGATCCTGGGGTGTAGGGCAGGGTTTCGGGTTTAGGGGTTCCGGGTTTTAGGATTTAGGGTTTAGGGGTTTAGGGTTTTAGGATTTAGGGTTTAGGGGTTTAGGGGTTAGGGTTGAGGGTTTAGGGGTTCCGGGTTTTAGGATTTAGGGTTTAGGGGTTTAGGGTTTTAGGATTTAGGGTTTAGGGGTTTAGGGGTTAGGGTTGAGGGTTTAGGGGGCTCGAGGCGGCATCATGCTTAGAGCAGACAATGATCGCAACCCTCTCGTGGCAATAGCTTGCATACCTGATGAGAACTCCGAATGATGACATACGCAACATTACAATAACCTACCCAAAGGCCCCAAAGTAGCTCCTTTGTGTGGTTCAGATATATAGAATTAGAATTCTATAAGGCCCTAAACCCTAAACCCTAAACCCCTAAACCCTAAACCCTAAACCCTTGAACCCTCAACGTTTTGGGATCTTGAGGCTCGCCTTTGGCTCTGCAGCATTTCGGACTTATGCCTTAGGGATTTAGGAATTTAGGAACTTAGGGTTTAGGGTTGAGGCTTTAGGAACTTAGGGTTTAGGGTTTAGGGGGTTAGGGCTTTATGGTTTAGAAATTTATAACTACGGCTTTAGGAACTTTAGGGCTCGGATGGTGCGGCCCTTGATTCCAACCAGCGGCCGCAAGCGTGGCATGGCAGGACGATTTTTAGTTCAAGTTCAGTTTAGAAGGCTTCGGGCGGCATCTAAAACCTAAGCATTAGTATACAGCATGCAAAAACTATACATACGACCATACCGATATAAGGTGTGCCTTTGATCGAGTGCATGGAACCCGAATGTTAAAGACATAAGATATAGCGGGTGGAAGGTTCGAACTAAGAGTAAAAAGGCTTCTCTTTTTGGTAAGGAACCTAGGACTACAAAAAAGGAATAAGGGTACTACTGGGCATCCTAGGGTATCTCAGCTATGAAGCCTACGGCAACGTGGAGGGTCTCAGGGACCATCACGAACCCCAAGGGTCCAAGTACCATACACTCACCAAGCCCGAACCTACATAACTAGTATCCTAAAACCGAGTACCTAATTATTGGGTCCTTCGGACCCTTCGGGTATCAAGAAGGTTTTCCCAAAGTTGAGCTTTAGAACTCGGGTGTAGCTGCAGAGGAGACGGCTGCCACGCCAGGGTGTTGGAGACCGTTGACGGGGACGTGCCTCCCCCCACTGCACACCTTGTCCGAGTCAGTGTAATATAGCGGTTTAGGAGTTTGGGTTTAGGGTTTACGCTATAGCCTTAACCCTAAGGCTCAAAATGAAAAAAACAAGCCTTAAAAATGTGAGTCCTTAGAGGGGCTCTACATTCCTACTTTAGGGCCAAGGTACAAGCTAGAGCCCAAACCGCACCTAAAGTCTGCTGCTCCGCTGATCTACGAGTCCGTGGCAGTGCAGTAGGCACGACCCCAGCTATTTGCTGCACCGGGGAAGTCTATCGGACAGAAAACCGCATGCAGAGTCTGCGCACCATCTGGGCAGTTGTCAAAATTGGGTTCCTTTTTGGGCACCCTAAATAATAGGTGCCCTATTATAATAAGGACCCAAAAAAGGATCATAATTTTCACAACCACCCATCTGAAAGTATTGGAACTTTAACCCCGATTCGGGACCTGTATCTTACCCTAAGGCCCCAAAGTAGTTCCTCTTTGGGGTTCGTTCATAGAATCCTATAAGGTAATCCCAAAAAGGAACTACTTTGGGGCCTATGGGTAGAGTCTTAGAGTACTTGAAGAATCATGAAGATTTTGGTGCTTCCATCAAGCCTCAGAGTGTGCCGCGAG